TACCTCTTAACTTTTTACTGGTTGAACCGAATTCGATGATTATTTTTTTATTTGAAAGCTGGTGCTTCACATGTAGTCCCATATAAATTTGATCGAGGTCTGACCATTAGTAGAGTTATTCTTATTAATTTATATTGCAGTCGGTTGTGCAAAAGTTTTAATTTTAAATTGTTATTAAATACCTTCTTCCTTAGGGATAGATCGAAATCAATTTATTTAAGAAAATACCACTACTAATTTACGAAAAATAGGGGATGAAATTGTTAATGTAGATACTATTTAGATCACATTTTAGTTGTTACGTTCTTGAGTTTGTGATATTCCTTGGTTAAAAGGGTCAAAAATTAAGCTTTTAATATAAAGTAAAAGCCGACTTCAAAAAATTAAAGAGGATGTAATAATTTCCACATAACAGCAAGTCAGGGGCTTTAACGATGTCTTGTCAGAAGTAATGTCTTAACACATTTTGTGTCAAATGTATTATAGGTACAGTAATATATCAGTATAGTTTAATAGATCAATTACTAGGCCCTTTGTTTCCAGAGAAAATTTGCGCTTAATGTTTTAGAAAAGAAAATTAGAAATTGGAATATGATATTTTCGATGTTAAGAGTTCTTATCCTTACCTTAAATTTTAGCGATACCACAAACGGACAATCTCCTTTATGTGTGTCACGTTTCTTTGGTGTACACAATCGTATATTTTACGAGCTTAAGTATATCTGTAGGACATTACGCGTCCTAAGTGATAATATAGTTTACGATTTCACTATCTATATTTTCCTACATAATGTCTGCAATGTTGCATTCATGAAACCTTATTGTATGTCGACCTTGTCGGAACGTATCTTCGGTTATTATTTATACTATTTAGCAATCCGTCATAAATTTGAAGGTTTTTATGTGAAGTTATTGCTTAGAAGTAATTTGATTATTGAATAGTTTTGAATGAAATACCTACATTTCGAAAATCATAGCGTGTAGGTAGCCTTAATACGTAAAGTTTGTTACAACTTCCTATTTCTTACCCACACCGCAGATTAAATAATGTTACTACGTAACCCATACTTATACGGTGTGGGAGCTACGAGTATAGTTACAAATTGTACCACTACCACACACTTAATTTGTTTAGCGTTGACGTGGTTGATACTTAATTTAGTTATTAAGATTAGTTATTAAGATTTATAATATTATAATAACAAAATTAATGTCTGTTAAAAATTTTAAGATAGTTCAGTAATTCAGTATCCTAATATATAGTTAAGTAGGTGCCTAGAAATATAATTAATCTCTACATAATATAAAACAAAGTCGCGTTCCGCCGTCTGTACGCTTAGATTTTTTAAACTACGTAACGAATTTTGATGCGTTTTTCGTAACTAAATAGAATGATTCAAGAGGAAGGTTTATATGTATAATACATACAGTATATATACATGTATTATACATATAAACCTAATTTTAAAGAATTATATAATATATTATATAATTCTTCAGTCCGTGTGTATGTGACTGAACTCCCAAACGGCTGGACCGATTTTGACGAAATTTTGTGTGTGACTAAGTTGATTAGAGAATGGTTTAGATTCGATCGTACCCGGAAGGTGACGTTGTTGTCGAGATCCAGAAATCAACCGTGCGAAGCCGGGGCGGATAGTTTAATAGTAAATGAATTATTAGCGTCTATTAAAATGAAGAGTCATTTAAAATGATATTTCCTTCATGGCAAGATAAGTAAAAACGCGAGGGTGATGGATTTTATTCCATCTCGCTCGCACTATAGAAAGTCGTGATGAAAAAATCTTACACTTTTTCTCGCCTAGCCCCCACCCGCCAAATTCGTACTATTCGATAAGGAACTTCGTTCCAAAAAAGTTAAATAATGTGCTTGAAAGTATTTATTTTCTTAAAGACAGTGTTCAGGTATGATCCGAGATGAGTTAAGCTATAATTTAATGTGAATAAGGTTACCATTGCTTCATTTAGGAGGTGTAACGGTGTATGAGATCTTTTTCTTCAAATTTCAGCTGCTGGCTGACATATTCTCTATTCTTTATTAGGAAAAACCTAATGTAAACCCTCGCGGATTTAGATACAGATATATTATTGCATTCACAGCGAAAACTTCATGGTGCCATCTTCGCCGCATATAGTCAGGGCTACGCTTAAGCACACACCCGCGGCTCCACCAGCACGGGACGTATTTTGCGTCTCTTGCCATGGTCACCTGCACCTAACTTCAAATAAAAACTATAGATGCGTTTTTATCTGTGGGAACTAAGATGTAATGCCTCATAGCTTGTAAGTATCTTAGCTCTCTATACCCTTGAGACCAGAAGACCAGAAGTGTAGGCACTGCCTTCTTGTGGTAAACATATATAAGATTGTGGTACTTAATTGACTCCTAAGCGGAAGAGGAGTCCAATATCTTTTCTTTATAGGATAGGGTGACAAACGAGCACACAGTCCAGCTGATGGTAAGTAGTTGCTGTGGCCCATAGACATCTACATCTATCCTCGATTACGAATCAAAATGCAGATACGTTGTCACCCGTGAGGATTGATGTGGAATGCCTCGTTTCCAGTAAAAAGGGTCTCCGGTTCTCTACACTCACCATACGAAACACAGCAGCGTTAGCCTGTTATTTAACGCTGGTATTCTTTGAGAGCGTGGTCCTTCCCGGTCGAACCGACCCCTTCGTGCTACAACTATACCAGTAATATAGCTGCAGCATGACTCTACTACGTAAAAGAAATCTTATATGCAAGCGAATACAATAGGTGCGTTACTGCGACTCACGTAAGTACTCTCTAAGGACTGAGTAATATTTGAAGAAATATAACCGTTCACGCAAAATAAGAGAAGAGGCATAAATAATTTTACATTCTCGTATTATCACTGGATTTGTCATCCAATCATTGTCTAAAATATCGTATTCAAAGCTGTACACACACACTTTTGTAATTTTTCTACTTTATGGTTATTTAGTTTCCATTAACTGGCAGTTTTGCTATTTGTTACACACAAATACAATTGATTGTACGGCAGATGAGTCACCCACAAGATGTGCCTTGCAGGTGGTCTGGGCAGCAGTAATTGTTAACGATCTATTGATATTCGCAACGTACGCGTGAAGCAAACCAAACTATCATTAAACTAACATTGTCCTAGTTCTTCTGACGCTGTCAAGGCAAAACTAATGTTTACATTTAGACTTAAAACATATGTTGGAAAACAATTGCGTAATATAGAGTTCAAACTAGGGCATTCAATTTCGTAGCCTGTCTTCAATCTCGGTATTAGTGGGACTAAACATTTTCAGTACTACGGGACCTTAATATTTGCCCAAGAAAAAGCCCCCTCGGTTTCCACACTTGAAGGTAGTATCACTTTTAAGGCATTATATACAATGTAAGATACTTTCCCAATGAACCTTTCCGAGGTTGTCTGCTGAAGTCCAAATCAAGTGCGTATATCAGCGTATCAAAAGTCCAGTGCTAAACAAAGGCCTGCCCCATAGCTCGTATCATCAAAAAAGTATGGAATTGGTAGTGGGTATGTTTCCGAATTGGCTGAATGTCAAAGGGTCGCTACGTGAGTTTCCTACCATATATTTCAATATGAATTGTTTGGCGACGGAATTAATCTTAAAATTTAAAGAGCTATTAGCTATTAGTTTAGTACTAGCCCAATGCGACAATATTATATTGAAAGTCGTGCAAATGGATTCGCGGGTGGCCGCTAATGTGTATTATTACTACTAAAGTTAGCATAACTTAGACGCATAGAAAGCTATATAGTAAATAGTGGTGTCAAGCATCATTTGCTTTGGCTCGGAGAATATTGTTTGGATGTTCATTTTACCAGTGTCACATATTTCCTACTTTACAAATGAAGTTCCCAGATTTTGAAACCGGACAGAATGTTGTGATTTATAGACACATTTATATAGTTGTACTTTTTCATTATTATCTCGTATTTTATTATTTCGTGAATATTACACGTTAAATAAAATTTATTTTCCAGATTTCATAACGTTTAATTTCATCTTATTTTTATTCCTCGGCGTTTCACGTGCTTTGCAGCAATCTATAGCTCACAGGGCTTTCTAAGGAGACCCGAGCCACCTTTAGCTATTAATCATTAATTTTGTTTCGATGCACGCAGAATTTGCTTACTATCGTATCTTTAAGTCTTGCTTGTGTTGTAGTGTGCTGTGTTTCTGTGTTGCTGTGTTGCTATGTTTCGTATGGGGACTGTAGACAACCGGGGACCCTTTTTATTGAAAACGAGGCTTTCCATTTTAGTCCTAAGGCATGACAACACATCTGCTTTTGGATTCTTAATCGAAGATGAAAGAAAAGTGAAAGTGGACTTTCCAGAAGGTGGGACTATGTGCTCACTTGTCACCCATATTCTGTAAAAAAATAATATTAATAATAAAATATCCTCCTCGGGTGAGGTGACCATCACTATAATTTGCTATAAACGCGGGTTTTAGTACTTTTGTTATTGATTGTTCATGACTCTTATTCGTGCAACTTGAAACTTATCTATAAATCATTTACTGTTTTATTAATATTATTATATCTTTGAGCTTATAGTTTGTTAACATTTTATGGTTGTTTCGGTTAGTAATACCACAGAATAAAATTAAATAATAGTATACAACCGAGTAGTTAGTGTGGGCGCTTGAAATCCTATTATCAATTCTACTATCTGGAATGTTCCTTCTACCTAGAATGTGTTTCTTACTAATTCATAATAGTACGAGAAAGTAGGCTTGCGACTGTGTTAAGCTAATACGCTTAATTTAATATAAGCTATTATATAAACACTGACGGCACTAAACTTATCCATCGCAGCTGTTAACTTCATTTGTAAAAGATTTCGGGGTGTCAGAAATTGTATATGATGCATAATTGAAAACGTATTGTGTCTAAAATCTGTACAAATAAAAAAGATTTTAATGTTAGTTTTTTTTTTATTTCTCCAGGCAAAATCCGAGGAGCAGTTGGCTTGCGAAAAGGAATGGCTGCAGGCGGGTCACATGTGGCTGGCGCACCGCGGCGGATTCACCGCCGTGGTGAGGGAGGGCGATGCGGACGCCGGCCGCGCGAAAGTTCGAGTTCTGCAGACTGGGGAGACGCTGGTGGCAGACGAGGATGATCTAGAAAAGGTTGTTTCATTTAATTTGAATTTAATAAAGATATCTTCATAGAACCGCATCACATATCGGATTAAAATTGGTTATTGTTTAGTTTTTTATATATAGAAGGGGAACCCATGAGCTGCATCTCACCTGATAATATGTGTCGACCGCCGACTATGAACAACTGCAAAACCAGGGGAATTGCAGGTGCGTTGCCGGCCTTTGAAATAGTAGTATGCTCGTTTCTTGACGGTCCCTTAGTCGTATTGGTCCGGAAAAATCGATTGTGAAGAAAACTCGCACAGTAAATCGCTCAGTAGTGGACCGCCAAGCATCCAGATAATGTGGATGGTAACGTGAGCTTTTTTCGAAGAAATTGACCGCCATGACTGAACTTCGGTAGACATTAATTTTCTTATAACCATAACAACAAGAACTATTTTCTTTTTAGTTGAAGCTTGAAAAATGCTACTTATAAATAATAAAGCAAAAAGAGGGTGTTATAAGTTTCAGGACTTTGTGTGACATCGTAGCTCCTTAACGGATGAAAATGCGGTTTTCTTTATTTGACGCTGGTTTAATCGTGATGTTTCTTGTATTGTGATTAATGTTAGATGAAAATCAATTAAACCGCATCCGGCCTGACTTATGATCATTGGTTATCACTTACTTAAATTAAGTATTAATTATATCTCTTTACCTGTCTCTTTATAAGTATAACATTTCTTGAAGAGAGAGATAGTTAGAGTGAGATAGAGAGAGAGAGTGTGAGAGAGAGAGAGACAACTTTAAGCATTATTAATTTTGACGTGCATTTTTATGAGTAAGGCTCTTTTTTATTTCTACATTTCCTAGCTTTTCTTTTATAGATAGAAAGATATTGAATTGAACTACGATAGACCTTAAATTTGGGTAGGATGTCAATGTATAATATGTACATCTGACACTGGAATAACGATCAGACTACTCAAATGCTCGAAACGTCTTAATAATTTTGGCTCACAATTATTATATTTGTGGTTGTTAGTTTGTAATTTACAAAAAGTTATTCCGTTGTTCTTAGGTTATTAAAATGAAACAGTTTATTTTGTTGTTAAACTAATATTAGTATTCAGAATAATGGGTTGGTAAGAAGAGCTTAGTTTATGTAGCATGTAATTTGTTTGTGCCTTTTAAAAATTAATTAAGCGATGACACGGCGTTAAGATAAACATCAATAAATCATTCGAGTGATTTCGAAAAGGTGAGATCGATCATCAACCACTTTTTACATAATATTTTTTGTAATTCTATCTAATGCGACCGGTTACTGAGTAAATTTACTTACAAATGACTTTTCGTCGGCCATATTGCTTCATTTCATTCCCTTAGTCTTACATTAGTAGGTCAAGAAATGAATTTAAATATCAATAGCGAAGTTTAGTTAAAGTTAATGCAATCAATCAAGTTGTTTATTTTTGACTATAATATTTTATGTGTTTGTTTTCTTTGCCAGCTGGTTTTAAATTGTTTAACTGTAGTTGTTTATTTTCAAAGATATTAAATCGGGAGCTTACTTAAGCTATGATAAATTGTAATTTGAAATATTACGTAATCAGTAATAGAATGAAGTCTAAATTGAAATTGATGTTCCAGGCCAACCCGCCTCAGCTTGAGCGCTGCGAAGACATAGCATCGTTGCGATGTCTCAACGAATGTGGAGCTCTAAACGTCCTTCGCTCGCGATTCGCCGCTGGTCTACCGCATGCGCGCGCTGGTCATGCACTCCTAGTACTCGGGCCACCGAGACGGACGGCGCCAATCTACACCGAAAAGGTAAACGATAAATAATATAGTAAACAGAGTGTTCCAGAAATTTCCCACCATGTAGTGGCGATGAAAGAATATCTACGACCTCATAATCATCCATTGGGTGTCGTAAGAGGCGACAGAGGAAAAAAATAGGATATGGACAGCAGCCTCTTCCTAATGACGACTTAAAATAAAAAACTGCAGTTACCAAGCGTGGCAACTATGGCAAATATGAGGTTATCTATGAGGGAGGTCTAGGTTCAGCAGGGGACTTTGATAGGCTGTAATGGTAAAGGCAAACAGCATTTAGCAAATATATTAACTTAAAAATAGTTTAAAATCTATCTACTTGACATATGCCTATTCAAACTAAGAACATCTAGCTGGAACTTCTACAATCTACGTCTATATAATATACTCTACAGCATTACTGTTACCGGTTACCACTTAATAATTTACGCTGATACTCTTGAGTAACGAACGATATCTAGGCACCACACGATTACTCTTTACATCATACAAAACTCCTCTTCTCATAATGGTTATTACACATGTATTGTGGCTTAAGTTCATATCACGTTATTTTATTAAAATGTAATGGTGGTGATACCTATATTAAATAAATATTTATCAATTAAGTAAAGAAAAAGGAATTTAATTAAGTAAGTAAAGAAAGAGCCCATTTCATTCCGTGATAACTATCCGATGTATACTTGGAACTATTCCGTTTGATACGAGAACTAAATGTATCTACTGGCGTTGCGAGCGTCAAAGTTACAATACTTCTGATAATACGATCTCCAATCCGCCTGCCAAACCTGGCCTGGATTATGGCCAATCCATTCTACAAGTAGTGTGGTAGTTCTACAAGTAGTGGAGTAGCCCATGTCAAATAGTGAAGTTTTACCGGCTGATCATGATGAATAAGATAACATTGCTTATTTGTATGAATCTGTTATAATTCTTATCATACCCTGTAAAAAATTGTGTTATAAGAGAAGACACGAGGGGCGGAAAGACGTTTAAGATCGTGTCCGCGCTGCAGAAGGTAGAAGCATGCAATAAAAGTGTCGGTTTCATTAGGGGAGAACGTAATAAAAAAGGAACTGGAATACATTATCTCAAGCAAGTATTGCATGTTCCTCCCAAGATTCGATTCGTTGAACGGATGGTTGAAAGGACCATATGAAGTGATAGGTTTTATTCCCTGCATAAGCTTTTTTTTATAGAATAGGGTGACAAATTATCACACAGTCCACCTGATGGTAAGTAGATGCAGTGGCCCATAGACATCTACATTTATCCTCGATTAAGAATCAAAATGCAGATACATTGTCACCTCTGAGGACTAATATGTAAGAATGTCTATGCTCTCTACTCTCACCATACGAAACACGCTGGTATTCTGTGAGAACCAAGTCTTTCCTAGGTCGAGCCGACCCATTCGTGCTACAAACATAATATAGTACGCTTGAAACAAAATAAGAGAATTTATTACGTCGCTACCATACAGTTGCATAGTTAATACAAATATGTATACTTTAACTTTGTTTAGGTGGCAGCCATGTTCCGCGGCTGTCGAGCAGACGATATGCCTCCTCATGTATTCGCCGCTGCCCAATCCGCTCATAGATGTATGCTGGCATCGAGGCGAGATCGTGCCATTGTTTTTCTTGGCAGGTGAGTTATTTTTTTATTTTTATTTCAAAAAAACAATTTATTAAAAAGAAACCGTGAGTATAACTTCAATGATGTTCTTCTGGCTATTTTTGTATTCGTATCCTATAAATTGACTTCTTCTAATTTTCGCATTATAACGCTATTTTTTGTTAAATAGAAAAGACAAGAAAATATAAAATCACGACACAGCATAGATTTCATTTTTGTATAGCAATGCAAATATTAACAACTAGCGCCTTGGCTTCGCACGGGTGATTTCTGGATCTCGACAACAGCGCAACCTACCGGGTTCAAATGTGAATCTAAACCATTAGGGACCCATTCAACAAACACAAAAAAATTCATCAAAAATGGGCTGAGCCGTTTTTGTGTTTTAGCGTGACTAACAGACAACAATAGGGTATTTCACACCATGTAAAGAAAATCAATATATTTATAATAGATTTTGTAAAAAGTAAACGAGAAATATTGATTTCTATTTATAAAAATGCATTATAAATTTTTATCTGTGTCTCAAATCTGCAAAACGCTATCCGCCATTTTAGATACCGTCGTGACGTCACTGGTCGGAGAACTAGCTAATCATCATCATCATCATCATCATTACAGCCCTTCACAAGTCCACTGCTGAACATAGGCCTCCCCCAAAGAATGCCACAAAGCACGGTCCTGAGCCACCTGCATCCATCGACTTCCTGCATGTCTTACCAGGTCGTCACTCCATCTCGTGGGGGGACGCCCTACACTTCGCCTAATGTGCTGTGTTATTTCGACAATTTTTAAGTTATCATTACGATTGTTAAGTTTGTTCCGAATTTAATTCGAATTTGTTTAACAGAACCCATAATCTTATATTGTGTGTAATTTGCCATGTCATTTTCCAGCTAAATCATGCAATAACCTTTATGACATTTTGAAATCAAAGCTAGTTTATTACTTCGCTTTTAGCACTAATGTTATAGATATTATAATATAAGTTTAGGCGAGAAAAACTTTTTGTTATAATTTTTTGTATAAACTATGTCATTATTCCCATATAATAGAAGAAAACACGAATTAAGTAACACACTGCACTCCTCTTGCAAGGTTGCAAGGCTGTCAAAATGGCCCACAAAGGGCGACCTAATTTAACAAAACACCTACCATGTCATGATGATTTGTTTTGTTTAAACGATGGTTAAATATAAGTCATACGTCAAAGTGATCTTCACAGAAGTATAGTTTAGATTTGTAGGCAATGCCTTCGGGCCTCTTCTTGCTAGTTTTAAGCAAGTATTTCTCATATTTAAATCAGTTGGAACTTGAATCCATAAATTCCCCGGCGTTCATACTCTTGTATTTTGGCATTCAGACACAACACAATTGTTGTATATAAATAATAACTCATTATGAAACATTTATTCCTTTGAAAAATCGGCAAAATCCTAAAACAGTGACGTCACGAGTTGAACAGCATGGCGGCTATCGTTTTCATGCGAAAATTTAAAACGATAGATTAAAAGTAATTTTTATGGCACTATTCGGTTTAAAAAATATATATAAAAATTATAGTGGTTTTTTATCACTCTAGGATTCATTTAAAATACTTTTTGAAAATGGGTGTAACCCCCTATTGATTTTTATGTATAGAAAGATGATGATGTTTAGCCCGTTTTACTTTAAATATTTCAAATGTTCCTAAATGCTCAAGATAAAATATTTTATTTCAGTATCGTCTTAAATATGCTTTGTATTATATATCTTAGCCGTGTTATAAAAACTAATAAATTGTAATAATTATAAAACATATTAAATAATAATTCAAAAAACTAAAATACGAGTACAACACCACTTATATTTATTTACATAGCAGCTCGTCAAGTGGTATTTTGAAAAAACGATCAAATGGTATCGGTTTATTCATTGACCATTATCTAACATCAACGTCCTTGCTGGTTTATTTTTAGTTACTAAGTTAACGATAACGCGCATGAATAATAATCTGCTTGGGAAGGTTTTGTAATAACTGCGATTCATTTTCATTGGTAGCTCAAAGTCATTTATGTAATCATGTAAATCGTATCTGATATACTAGTGCACTTTACTCCGAATTTAGTATAACCATTCAGTAAAACTACATTAATAATTGACTTAGGTAATCCAGAAAATAATGAGATACCTACATTGTTTTGGCAATACGGACTCAGAGCTGAGATATAGGCTTTATTAACTAATTAATGATAAATGGTAAATACGTGAGACTAGAAATAAAGACACACGCACGCACACGCTTTTGATACATATAAGTTCTGTTCCTGTATAATTTAGTTTAAACATTTAGTTTTTCTACGTGGTAGAGCCATGCTGCAGCTATATTATGGTAGCACGAATGGTTCGACTCGAACGGGGAAGGACCACGCTCTCACAGAAAACCAGCGTAAAATAGCAGCTTAACGCTACTGTGTTTCGTATGGTGAGTGTAGAGAACCGGAGACCCTTTTTACTGGCAAAGAGGCATTCCATCTTAGTCCTCACGGGTGACAACGCATCTGCATCTTGAGTCTTTATTGAGGATAGATGTAGATGTCTATGGGTCACAGTAACCACTTCCATCAGGTGGACTGTGTGCTCGTTTGTCACCCGAACCTATAAAAAAAATAAAAAAAACTTTTTATAGTGAAGCGTATGAGGTTCTCAATTATTTATGATAATTAGATCGACATTAGTGGAATCTATAAGTTCATTGACAGATTCTGTGAATGCTTTTGTACGAGACCATGCTGAGTTAAAATAAATCAAAATGTCTCGCTTCAGTAAAATTATATACTTCCTTACTATCCTTTATAAATCCACTGCCGGGTGTAGGCCTTTTGAGCTTTTTGCTGCCTCGTAAGCTACAGCGATACAAGATATACATTTTAACTCACGCCTTTACTTACTGCACAGAACAGTTAGTGAGCGCCTGGGCCTATTATTCCCGCAATAGTATTGCAATGTATTTGAATGGGTTTCCCGTCATTGACCGACAGAACCTTCAAATTTCCTTCTGTAAAGTCATATTGAAGTTGGAAATTTATCATCAGCACGCCTTATAGTTAATGCAGTGTGGATTATATTATAAACTACTAGCTGGTACCCGGCGCGTAGCTGCCGCAGAAGAAATTATTGTGAAAATGTGGTTTTAAATTTGGAAGAGTTATATTGTTTCATTAGGAATAATAATACATTCATTATGTAACTTTCCGATAAATTTGTAAAAAATCTACCGTAAGGTAACTGTACTATGCCTATAACCTTCGCGCAAGTGCAAGCAATAAGTTGATAAAGTTTTAGTGCAATCTGATGAACGGCATAAAGTACGAACAAACAAAAATTAATTTTTATATATAAGATAAGGCATCTATACAAATAAATAAAATTGAAGTGTTTGTTTGTAATGTCAAAATTACAGCTTTTTATATGAAAGTAAATACGGTACTTATAACTAAAATACAATTTTTAAAATTTTTGTCTGTCTGTCTGTCTGTTTGTTCCGGCTAATCTCCGAAACGGCTGAACAGATTTTGATGGGACTTTCACTCGCAGATAGTTGATGTCATAAGGAGTAACTTAGGTTTATTTTATTTTAGAAAAAGAATCAGGGTTCCGCGCAAAAAAATAAACCCTTAACACGCGAGTGAAGTCGCGGGGAACAGCTAGATTTTTATAAAAATGTCATATTGTGTGAAAATTTATAACTTTATTTCCATACATGTTCGTCTTATTTAATTAAAACACCACACCTAAAACGACTTAGGTTCATGGTTGTTTAAATTTGCTTTGTTGCATGTTGTGATTTTATTTATATTGTGAAAAACTACACTCAGCGTCACAAAAATCGCACCTCTCTGAGTTTGCGCGAAAAATGGCTGTAATGGCTAGAAACGAATTATATTTATATAAATATTGGTATGTTTGAAATGGGTATTTGAATAGCTTTACATTATTAATAAAAAAATCATGAAATCATTAAAACATTTATCATTATAGAGCGTCAAAAATAAACACTGTCAAATGCTCGTTAGTAAGGACGCTAGTTACACCACCTAAAAAGGGTATAAAAGGGTCGATTTGGATGAAATATGGGTCAGTCATAATTTAGACTTTGCAGTGAACACACGTGAACAAGTAACCCAAGTAAGAACAAGTAAAGATGGACACCAGCTCTGAAGAAGCCGCTCAAGTGATTGCCCTATTGCAGTCGGGGATGCGGCAGTGTGACGTTGCTCGACAGTTGAACCTGTCCCGTTTTTCAATTCGACGGGTGTTCTAACGTTTTCAGCAGACTGGTGGTTATGTTAGAAAACCGGGATCTGGAAGAAAACGGTGCACATCAGAAAGAGATGACCATTTCATCGTTACGACATCTTTACGAAACCGTTTTACAAATGCTGTTGAGTTGCAACAACAGCTTTGATCAACTCGGAGAACATCTGTGAGTGTTTCTACGATAAGAAGAAGGTTACACGAAAAGAGTTTAACAGCCCATATACCTGCTAAAGGGCCAAAACTTACTGCACAGCATCGCAGAGATCGCCTAGAGTTTGCTCGCAATCATTGCGAGTGGACTCTAGAATAGTGGCGGACCATACTCTTCTCTGATGAGACGAGGGTCTGTCTATTCTGCAATGATAGACGTAGAAGAGTCTACAGAAGACAGGAGGAGAGGTTCACACAACCCTGCTTCGAAGAATCCGTCGAATACGGGGGTGGCTCGTGTATGTTTTGGGGCGGCATTTCCGTCGACGGGAAAACGGAACTTGTGTGCGTTTCCCGGACTCGGGGTGGCCGTAGGCAAGGGTCATTAAATGCTGGTCGGTACATTACTGAAATCCTGGAGGAACATGTGGTCCCGTATGCTGGTTATGTCGGTAATGGATTCATGTTAATGCATGATAATGCTCGTTGCCACACCGCGGCTATTGTACGGGATTATTTACAGGAGGTCGATATCCCTGTTATGAATTGGCCAGCACGAAGTCCAGACCTTAACCCAATAGAACATCTCTGGGATGACCTAAAACGGCGCGTGTGAGCTAGAGATCCAGCTCCAACCACTCTTCAAGAGCTCCAAGATGCGGTACTTGAAGAGTAGGAACAAATACCCCAAGAGGCTGTTGCGACCCTTGTAAGGTCCATGAAAGATCGCATGGAAGCCGTTATCAAGGCAAGGGGGGGTAACACTAGGTTTTAAGAACTTTTATTGTATTTATTAAGTTTTTTTTAAATTATTAATTTGCAAATTTGTACATACCCTGTCTTTTTCTTTAATTTCTCTTTCGTCTCGTTATAAAAGTAAAATTCAATGAAATGTAATGAAATTACCTTTCGAATGATACCCTCAAACCACAACATTGCCATTGGCCTGTTGTGTTAAAATAGTATTTAAATTATTTTTTTCGGATGTGTGATTTTTTTGACGCCGAGTGTAGTTTTAGATGCTAAACTTTATTTAAAAAAAAGTAATGCAGAATCGCCAAATATTAATATGTACAGTGACATAGTGATGACATAAAGATAACGATAGCTACTAGACTGTAAAAGATATATATTAACATCGTTGGCCTATACATCACTCAACTTCCATTTGGCGATAAAAATGGCTATTGCAGGATGACCTCAGTGATCAGCTTTGAAACAATGTGTCTCCCAACGGATAGCAATCGATGGGAAAGACATGTCGACGACATGTGGCGACCTGATGAATCACCTGTAGGCTGTATGTATTCGATGGATGCCGGTGGCTTAGGACCGTGCTTCGTTGCAATATATAAGGCGAAGCCTTTGTTCAGCATTGGACTTGTGATGGGCTGTAGTGTGTATGAGTAGATGAGTAGTGAAGTGATTGTTACTCCTAGGTGTTTATAATTATTAATTATACATTATTACAGAATTATATATTTAACAATTTTCAAGTAATTACCGTTATTTTGTTATTTATTACTGTAATTTTTAAATTCTTCGGTTACAATTATATATTACAGTATAATTACTCCAAGCCAAATATATTATACTCGTACATTGATCCTTCCCCATTATTGATGCTTATGATCCTCTAGCCTTAAACCTTTTCCTGTTCCATGAATTATATATTATGAACATTTCAATTGTTTAACTATTAGAGCGAGAGCCCGTTATCGCCAGACCTTCCTTATTTTATAAAAGCTGAAAATTTATCAGTCCATGCTCCCAGCATAGGTAGGAACGATGGGCTACTATGAAGTATAGATCATGGTGACTTTGGCAGGTAACAGGTAGCAAAGGTATATATAATATATAATATTATTTATGTTTTATTCACTCAGAATGTTTCGCAGTTAGTACTCAATATTTTATTGTCAGATCACTGCCGCGAATTAATTTAATTTGATTTTTTTTAACAAATTGTATTTCCTCACAGATCCGGATCCGGCAAAACGTCGGCTATGCGCCATTGTGTTTGGTATCTGGCGAGCGCTTACCCATCACAAGGATCCAAACTCACGGCAGATCGTTTAAATGCAGCATTTGACGTACTCCATGCCTTCGGTTCCAGTCGGTATGTTTACATATTTAATACAAGTTTAGATAATAATTTACAAATTATAAAGAAGAAGTTAAACTATTTGCTTCTGTCCGATTCCCTGCACAAAAGCACTATTTTCATTTTCCCGCTTTCTTATTTTCATTCTCTCGTGGTAAAAAGTATCCATTGTATTTGTGGCGGCGCTGTCGTCGCGCCACAAGGTACGTAGTATGTACTATTATTTATTCTGTGTCACAAGCGAAATCGCACCAAAGCCTAAATCGCGCTATCAAAGTTCTGAAGTTAACGCGCTATATTCTTTTTTTATAGAATAAGGGTGACAAACGAGCACACAGTCCACCTGATGGTAAGTGGCTGCTGTGGCCCATAGACATCCACATCTATCTTCGTTTGCGAATTAAAATGCAGATGCGTTGTCAGCCGTGAGGACTAAGATAGAATGCCTATTTTCCAGTAAAATGGGTCTCCGGTTCTCTACACTCACCATACGAAACACAGCAGCATTAAGCTGCTATTTTACGCTGGTATTCTGTGAGAGCGTGGTCCTTCCCCGGTCGAGCCGACCCATTCGTGATACAACTATACTATTCATATAGCTGCAGCGTGGCTCTACCACGTACAACAGAATATATAGAACAGCTCCGAAATAACACAGCGTTGGCTGCTCCCCGGGCTGAACACCTTCCTTTCACGGCCATATATGAACCCTTTCGCTGTCCCGTGCACTACATATAGGTCATTGCTATTGTCTTACTTTTGTGTCTGGAAACCGGACAGTGAAAGCGTTACAATAGACCATGTTCTGTCTGTATGCCATAGTGTATTTGGGATCCTTTTTTTACAGCACGAGTTCCAACCCACACGCCTCTCGGTTCGTATCTCTGACGTCGCTGGATTTCGACGGTGGCGGTGCGCTAGTATCCGCCTCTGTACAAACGCTTTTACCTGACTTCAGGCCTGGACAGTCGCCTTTGAGAGCGCTACACACGTAAGTATTATAGCTATACAAAAGAAAATTTGTATTTACATGCTATGGGCATAGGGTAGGAATATATCACTCTAAACGGTAAACAATATGACAACTTGCCTTTTTTATTTTAGGATATACAACGAAATGCAATCCCATTATACATAATATATTAAACAAAAATCTTATCAAAAATATATATAAAATGTAATTTTAATTTCTTTTGCATATCCTACACGATACATTTGAAGTTAATACGCAATTTAGGGTTTATTTTCAATCTGATGATTAAGATGGAATGCAGTTCTCATTTAATTGGGTTTTCTCATGAATTAATAGTAGCGTAGACTATGATTTATATTAAGCAGAACCGACTTCGCGCTGTACCTCACTTCGTACTTATGTAATTTTTGTATGTAAACTGCCTCTAGGATACAGAAGAAAATCCTAGTGATGCTCAGGCTAGGCACTTAAAACTGTTTACAATATTTTTATGACGCATTATATCGGACGGCCGTGCTACTTTCGATATACGTGCAGTTCTGACACGTCCGTTTTGAGAAAGGTAAAGTAAAAAGTAAAGTTACAGCCTATATACGTCCTACTGCTGGGCACAGGCCTCCTCTCATTTCTGAGAGGTTTTTAGTTCAAGGAAGTGTCCGCCGCGCTACCTCAATGCGTGTTGGCGGACTTCACATGTCTTCGAATTCGTTTTTATTGGATCGAAGTTCCTTAATGGACGGTACGAATTTGGCGGATGGGGGTTAGGCGAGAAAAAGTGTTAGATTTTTCCGTCACGACCCCTTCTGACGTAGTCTAGACCGCTTCTAAGGAAGCGAGATGGAATAATATCCATCTAACTCGTAATTTTTCTTATCTTGCCATGAAAGAAATATTACCTATTTTATTTTAAATGACGCTTCCTTTTAATAGACGCCAGTAATTCATTTATTTGTATTTCTTAATCAATAATATAATACGTTTATCAATAATTGAGTGACTTTCAATAAGTATTATTTATAATCTATATTGAATAAAAAAGTTTCTGTTTCTGTTTCAATAATATACTACGAAAGGAACTTTGATCCAACCGAGGGTTCCACGACACTCACGCATGTTTTTTTTTCTTATACATGCCGGTTTCCTCACGATGTTTTCCTTCACCGCCGAACACGTGGTAACTCAGTACTTAAAATTGCAAGTGATAATTTAATTGGTACCAGTGGCTTGCGTACTATGAAATTTACAACGAGCACTAAGCCTCTGGGCTACGACGACTCTGGTCTGGTCTAGTTTTGACAAAAATCATCATTAATTTATTATACTCCCATTTTATAGTGGTGTATTTATCCCGATTGAATTTGCTAACAAGTACTTTACTATTTATAAATATTTTGCAGGTTATTCCACGGCAGCGACGGGCGCCTCCGTCGAGAACTGCTCCTCGATCAAGCACCAGTTAATGCGCCCAACCCGTTCATCAGCAGCAGCGATAAAGCCGAAGCACCCGCAGAGTTCTCGGCATTAAAAGAAGCGCTTCAAGCGCTCAGCGTAACCGAACCCGAACAGGCTGTGATATGGAGGATACTAGCCGCGATATGCCACTTGGGGTGGTCGGGTGTTACCAAAGGTATTCAGATTTTTAAAGATTTTGCTGAGCTGAAATTTACCGTGTAGTGGCGTAGTATGAGAAACTATGAGCCCATTTTCTACCGTGCCGGTTCGTTAGAGGCGACAACCGTAAAGACTAGAAACATCTCAAGCTGTCATAGCTTCCGATAAATAGCAGTATACCATCCCATGTATTCCACACGTGAAATATTCAGAGCTGCGAAGTCGAGCAGTTAGAGCTTCCTCCTGCCTAATGTGGCTGTTACGGCAATTTTTTTAGTGGGAGAGGCTCATCATTTGCTGCATGGATTGTTGCGGGTTTTTTAAGAAGAAATTACTTAAAAAAACCATATGACGAACGATTTGCAGGAATGAGATAGTATATTTATTCTTAGACGTACGTAAGCAAATAAATTACGTCATTTTTTTTTAAAGTTATTATTACGGTAGCCACCTTTTCTAAATATTGTGGATCGGCTAACTTCGTATTTCCGAATATGACCGACCGCATCAAGACGGTATAAAACATAGAGCTCTCTTATAAATTATTATTGCGAGATTATCAATATTGTATCTACGAATTAACGAAAAATTGTGCCCGAGATATAAGTATCTACTTATATCTCGAGCACAATTTTTCAGGTCGTATTGTAGGACCTGATGTCGATAAATTAAAAAAAAAAACATGTGTTGTCCCGTGTCACACGCGGCAGAAGTGACAACCTCAGAAAACTAAACACATATTAGTTGAGAGTAAAGTTGCTTTATAATAGTACCATCCACGTGCTATGCTTGTTTATCATCCTTGTTGCATTAAAAATAAAAATTTAGACTTACTTTTTGTAGAAACGGAAAGCCATAAACACAACTCTTTCTATTATATACATTTTTTAATATAATTTTCACTAGATGAGTTCAAAAAAAACTGTGTATGTCTGTGGAGGATATAGAATATTATATTATATGATGAATTTGATAACTTTATCATATTTTGTCTTCCAGCTGTTACAGTAAACATTGTAAAATTATTACATTTATACAAGATGAAAATTCAAATCGACTACAGCCTGACCCCTACAATTATTATCATGTATTTCTTCCATATCTCTCAAAAGTTTATAAACCGGGATATATAATCACTATGTGTTCGTAAAACACAGTCATAAAAAGGATCGATTAAGTATTAATGAAGGAGATTCAAGGTCAATTTAGATGGCCATGGTGTCCTTTTTTATTTATTTAATGTTTTTATATCTGCAGTATTAGTTCGCTGTATCCTGTTTTGAATGTCAACACATTTAGTGTAATAATCTTAATCTGTATTTGCCAAATCTTGGCAACATAACCCTACATTGTAATGTTGATTAGATCTTTCGTTGGATTCCACAGTGTTTTTTAATTTTTTTGCTTTGACTGTATATTTTTATTCTTCCTAAGATTGTTTTAATCACCCTTATGCTACGATCATTTGCAAGTGTTTTATATCAAATACCAAGTATTTAAATAATACTGTGGGTGTTTGTAGGAATTACCTCACCGATTAATGGTATCTAGTATAGATTTTTTTTTTATAGAACAAAGGTGATAAACAAGCACAAAGTCCACCTGATGGTTTTTGGATGCTGTTGCCAATAGACATTTATATCCGTCCTTGATTGAGAATCAAAATGCTGATGCGTTGTTCTCCCTGAGGACTAAGATGGTATGCCTCGTTTCCAATAAAAAGGGTTTTCTCATTTCTACACTAACCATACGAAACTCAGCATCATTAAGCTACTACTATATTTTACGCAGGTACGAGTGCGGCACTGAAAATTTCGGGTATCAAGGAAGTGACACAACATTACTATTTAAAAATGTATTTATTGCTTTTCGAAGTATTCTCCGCGAAATTTGACACATTTTTCCATACCATGGGACCAATCATTGAAGCAACCATTCCATTCGGAAGTTGGGGTCTCCAAAATGGCCGTTTTGTAGGCATCCACAGCTTCTTCAGGTGATGAAAATCTCTCTCCACGCAATTTATTCTTTATTTTAGGGAAAGTATAGAAATCATTAGGGCTTAGGTCGGGGCTGTATGGCGGATGGTCTAATAATTCTATGTTTTCTTTCTCTAAAAACTCTTTTGTTCTGTGTGCGGTGTGAAAACTCGCATTGTCGTGATGGAGGATGATGCGGCGGCTGCAGTTCTCTTCACGGAGTTCAGAAACGACCTGTGGCAAACAAATGCTAGCATACCATTCTGCATTAACCATTCTTTGTCCCTCAAGAGGAATAGTCGTAACATGGCCGGTTTTGGAGACAAACGTGGCTACCATTTTTTTTGCAACACTCCGTGAACGAACAATTTTTGTTGGCTTTAACTCATTTTCGAACACCCAAACTCGTGACTGGTTTTTTGTTTCGGGTTCGTACGCATATATCCAGGATTCGTCACCTGATACGATGTTGTATACAGCATTTGAGGATACTGCGTGGAATCTTTCGAGAGTTTTTTTTTTTTTATAGGATTAGGGTGACAAACGAGCACACAGTCCACCTGATGGTAAGTGGTTGCTGCGGCCCATAGACATCTACATCTATCCTCGTTTGCGAATCAAAATGCAGATGCGTTGTCACCCGTGAGGACTAAGATGGAATGCCTCATTTCCAGTAAAAAGGGCCTTCGGCCACCTGCACTCACCAAGCGAAACGCAGAGGTAAACCTCTACTTCACGCTGGTATTCTGTGAGGTCGTGGTACCACCCCGGTTCGAGCCGGCCCATCCGTGCGACAGCAAAAGCTGCCGCGTGGCTCTACCATTGTAGAGCCACGCGGTAGAGTGACGCACCAAGTAACGCGAGCCGCTTTTTGCGTTCTTCACACACATTCACACAGCGAATGCGGTATCCATCGGGAAAACAACTTTTTTACACCTAATTGTTCATGCAAGATTATTTGTATTTGACTCATGCCAATGTCTAAAGTTGCCTGAATTTCGCGGTATGTCACATGTCGATCTTCCTCAATCAGCTTACGCACAGCATCAACGTTTTCTTGGGTGACTGCAGATTTTGGACGACCTTGACGGGGATCATCACTGAGCTTGACACGTTCAGTTTGAAATTCAGCAAACCAGCGATAAATTGTGGTTTTGGATGGGGATTATCAAATGCAGAAATCATCCGGTCAACACACTGTTTTTGTGTTAAACTACTTCGAAAGTCATAATAAATTATCGCTCTTGAATTTTCTCGAGTTAATTCCATTTTCTCAACGACTAAACAAGTTTGACAAAACCTTGTGACAAGACCGAGAATCTTTTTTTAAATAAATAAATGGTATTCGTTTTTAAAACCAAGGTCTTTTCAATTAAACGGATTTTAATATGACAGGAACAGTGGAAATATTCCATTCCCGATACTTTTAGTGCAATCTATGTATTCCGTGGGAGTCCTTTCTCGCTTGGTTTTACTATGTAAAAAAATTATCCGTTTCATTTGTATTTACTTATAAAATGTTAATCCATATAAAAATATTTATGATTTTTAGAGCTCTATAAGCTTATGAATATTTTATTTATTTAATTCGTATGGTAATGATTTGCCGTTGTCAATAAGTGGTGAATTGTAAGTGTGTTCGGCAGCGAACGTGGGTTCAGGTTTGAAGTACCAGTTCGGCAGCAGCGGGTGCGCGAGCCGCGCGGCGCGGCTGCTGGGCGTGGCGCTGGACGAGCTGGCGCGCGCCGTGTTCGCGGCGCCCGCCGCCTCGCCCGCCCCCGCCCCTGCCCCCGCCTCCGCATCGCCGCAGCCGCCCGCGCTCAGGTACACTAGCACTGCTCACACCGCCCATCTTATAACAATTTCAGTCTGACTATCTGTGATAAGCAATCAGTCAATCAATATATTATTCTTTATTGTACATGTACACCAATACACATTAAAACGAAAAGAAAGTGATCTTATCGCTCTTCAAGCGATTTCTGAATAATGTGTATGTTTGATATTGTATCACGGCGTTATAGTGCTTTAAACAAAATTAAATAAAAACAACGAATCCTTAAAATATAAAAGCGTAATTGTGAGCAAAATCCACGAAAAATTCGGCTCAATATGTCACTTCATTGACAAATTATCTAAAGTATTCGAACGTTAAAACAACACATTTTAGCAGACCAGTTAGCCGCGATCGCGTAACACGCTGTATTTCAGAAAGTGCAACGGTTGGTTTTCAGTAACGGTAATTGATTCGCGCGCCTCTTGCAATGTCAAATATTTATAAAATGCGTGATTATGCATTACTATTCTATTTATTTTCAACTATTCATTTTAATTACTTGTAAATTATTTATAATATTGTTTGTATTGTATAAAACACACTCTCCTAACATTAGTTGGCAACCAGACATTCCCTCTTGTTTCTGAGTGAATTACTTTTATCCATTTTAATCATCGAAACTCTTTTCCCTAAAAACTATATAATTAATTATTATAAGAAATTCTTTAAATAAAATTTCCTTTTTTGGTTAATAAGATTGCAACTTTTATATTTATAGTAGATTACGCCACTTAAGTTCAAATCTTAGCATCATATTTTTATGTTTTATCCAGTATAGCACCATACTTCTACGTGGCCTGTAGTATCAGCTTGCCCCTAGTGGAATTTCTCCCGAAGTAGTAGACGTCAAACCCGTTTTCAGAAAATGACTGTACCAAATTTGACTCTTTATGAATATAGAATAATAGTAAATATATTATTCATACACGTAAAATAATTAACTATAAAAATATGTTGTAAATACTGGCTGGATACTAATGCATAAAATTATTTTTATTCAAATTGCCGTAAAAGCAAAATAATTTTATTTAAATATACATGGGTAAGTTATCCCGGTGCTTTCTTTTTTACTAAGTTTCTTTCTATCTTCTACACTACTTGACCACATAGGAGGTATTGCATTAAATATTGGGCGGTTGTTTTGTATGTTTACGGATCGAAATCAATCTTATTACACCATACTTATCTTATTACTCTGATAGAAAACTTGCGAGTATAAACCTAGTTACAATGTTGCTAACGTTCACAATACTTTGCACGCCTCGCCTTATTAAAATAGTCTACCAATTGTTGCGGCGCGCGTATTAAATCAAAATGCACCTTACGCCCGCGTGCGTGGGTGCCCGTTACGCGTCTTTGTTAAGGCCGCTCCTACTGTAGGGTTAGGTGTTGTGAGAAAATTTGATATTCGTTGGTAGAATACACCGAGGTGTTATGCAATGTATTAGTAATTTACTGATAATAAGAACATTATTGTTCAATGTGAGGAAGATTAATATGCAGTATCGAGAAAAATTAAGATTATAAATACGTGATTGTCTTTGAAACTCAGATAATTTACCCACTTAATACCATTTCTGTTTCACATTTTTTGCAATTTACAAGCATGCGACATGCGACGGCATTAGTAATGAAAGAGTGGCAATGAGAAGCACTGCTATTTTCAATCTCTTTCGGATCGCTAATCAAATAATAAATCTGTAACTTAGGCGTCAGTAACTAAGTACCTAATTACGTAGATCTAATATCTTACATTTCGATATCCTTAGGAACAGTTAAGAATGAAAAGTTGACATTCCTATTGTTATTTAAGCACTCAGTATGCTATGCAGTATCTTTTGGCCTTTTGAGTAAATATGCCAACCCTATACTAAATTGTAAATTCATTTATTATTTTGTGGATTATAAGCGTTATAAGACATAAAGAGTAAATTGGAGTGCGTGCATCATTTTTTTTTAAATCTATAAAGATGTAGAAAATATATGTAAAAATATGTAGAAAAAAATATGATAAAAATATGTAATATATCTGACCATATTTTTTTTTCAGAACGCCATCTCCCTCGAGCGAAAGGGAGGTACCGGGCTCAGAGGCACTGGATGCATTTGTAACTGGACTATATAATGAGACATTTAACATCGTCGCAGCACTTGTAAACAGGTAAGATATACTTAGCTATCTTCATCCACCTGTAAACTACCAGTGTCCAGCAAGACACAGTCCAAACATAATAATGTCGTTTTGTTGTAATCGCCACGCATGGTTGTATCCATACACAATTTATGCACGCAAAACGCCTATCCAATACCAGAAAAAAGTACTTTTTGTTATGTTGGTTTTTATCCTACAAACGGAGGTAGGTATACAAACGGTTGATTAAAGTAAATTAGACTCCTTACTTCTCAGTCGTTAGGGTTTAAAAACGCCATGCTTACTTAGCCGTCTTACTTCAGAGTTTGCAGGTGTGTAGTCTAGTAAAAAACAGTACCTACTTTTCATAGGGTTGACTATAATCACTCTAATGCCATAAAATATGCCCTAAATGCCTTATCAATATTTCTAGGAGTCTGTCAACGTCAGCGAGGACGTCTGCCTCCATTCTGTTGCTGGATACACCGGGCGCGGACAACCCGATGTGCTCTGGGCAGCAGAGCGGTGCCCCGTTATCCAAACTATTATCTAATTATTTGCAGGTAATATTCAATACGTAAACTAAATTATGTATTTATTATTTAAACCTATCACTGCTTAATTCTTAAATACACAAACTAATATTTTATTTTATTACTTCCTAATAATTTCGGAAGCTATCAACGTTTCAAGACGTGCACTATACGAGTATAATGTCACAAATGCACGTCCAAACTTGATCCAAACTTACCGGCAGCTATCCAGCATGGCTGGAGTAACCCTCGTATTATACGATACCTGGCAGGCTCAGATTAAGCTAGAGACAAACATACGGCTCGAAAACCAACGAAGTGTTTTTGCTCAATGTTGGCTTGGCTATGGCGAGCTTCAAATATGAGATATCAGAGAACTATTAAAAGATATTATTATAAACCCCGGCTGTCGGTGTGGATGGTGGCAGATTTAAAGTACCCTTTACCATTAGGGTGTAACGCGTGCAAATTAGGTTGATTTTTGAGAGAAAACTGTATATATCATAACCTTTTATATTTAAAATAAACCATGGTTTCTTAGCGAATTCTTGTCTTTTAAACTGTTATTTTTATTTTCATTTAAGCATTAATTACTTTATTTTAATATAACAGGAACGATTACAAGCGATGTTCCACGACGCTCTGCTCGTTGCTCCAAGGGAGAGATATGCGCAGGAGGGAATTACACTCGATGACGGATCCGAGGAAGGTAAGTGTTATCCAAAACGAAGCCTGTTATATATTTGTATTTTAACAGCTATCTTAAGCCCTCTTATTTATAAAAAAAAAATCTCCAAAATCATGTGCACCTAGAAAGAGTAAAGTTGAAGTGTTAAAAAATTAAAACCTTCACTAACGGAAGGTAAAGAATATGTCTCTATTTTTCCCTTCCTCGGTTTTATATAACTCTTCCCGACCAGTATGAAAAATAATAAATAAAAACAGAACGAATTTAATTAAATTATTTTTTTTTATAACTTATCACATTAGTATTATTTCAGATTGGCTTTCTGAAACAGTTAACCCTGGCCCGATGGTAGAACTATTGGACAAGTCTCCGCAAAATTCTATTGTGCGAAGTTCCCAAGCCGACCTACGAGATTGCGACCGACGTGGACTGCTCTGGTAAAAATAATGTTCTATCTATAGTGTTACCTAGTTCAATCTTGTTTAACATCTAACCGAATACAAAATTGTTGGAAGGCAAATATGAAAGACACGTTCACTTGACCGCCTTGTTAAGTATGTACTTTGACTCTGCAATGGGACCTTTCCTAGATTAAATTTCTTTGTCGTTTTTTTTAAATGGCAACATAAAGGTGTAATGCGTTAGTACTCAGACTCTACTCAATGTCCAAATCAATATTCTAATAAATAAATACTCAAACGCTACGCAAACACAAAAGTCTCGTGCTGACTCTATCACTAAGTCAAAGTGACTGTGACGACATTACGAGATTTATCTTACATCTTAAAATTGGGTATCGTTTGAGTATTTGGCCATATGGTATTCTTAAGGTGGCACAAGTCGCGGGCTCGAACTCGCTGGTGGGCGCGGCCAAAAAGCACGCTGTCTCACCTGGCATCGTGCCCGACAGAGATAGTATCAGTGATGAGCATATCGACACTAGTATTCACGCACGTCTTGTTCGTACGGCATTCAGAACCGTTTGAACAAAAACGAAGTTACACGAACACGATGCAACATTTATACTAATATAATAAAGCAGAAAATATAGATCTTTACTCCGTCTAAAAAAAAGTCCGCGATACCATATGTCTATTTTTTATATACTCGTATAAGCCACAATTAGGCATTTTTATTTTGACAAAAAAAAAATGAAAATTTAATTATTAGGCATGGCATATTTATCCTTACGAACGAAAGTTACTTCATTATCAAGACAATTTTTTGAAGATAAACTTCGTTGTTTATGCCATGTTTATATAGTACATAGTTGAGATAATGTAAAATTAAAATAATTCAATACTTGGCCTTGACGCGCAAACAACGCATAACCCCTAGCCCGGTGCGAACTGAGAAGCCAGTATTGAAAGCTTCTATGAGCGAGGTTAGGTTAGCCGTTAGTTCAATCATTATCTATATCTACACAAATAAATAAAATTGAAGTGTCTGTTATAATGTCAAAATAACAGCTTTTTACTAATTGCATATGAAATTATATACGCTACTTATAACACAATTTTTAACATTTTTCTGTCTGTCTGTCTGTTTGTTCCGGTTAATTTCCAAAACGGCTGGACCGATTTTGACGGGACTTTCACTAGTAGATAGCTCATGTTATAAGTAGTAACTTAGAATGCTTAAATTTTAGAAAAATTATTAGGCGTCCGTGCAACAAAATTAACACCCTAAACTAAATGCGGACGAAGTCGCGGGGAACAGCTGGTAGCTAAAATAAATTCAAAATTAATTGAGTGCTTTTATCTATCTCCCAGGTGAGCGTAACAATGATTAGTTAATTCTGAACTCTTTCATTTCACGTTGCTATGGTATTTTGAAAGTTTAATTGATTAATAAGTTTTTATTTTATTTATTTCTTTAAAAAAAAGACGTTACCCCCACACTAGGATTTTCTCGTGTATCGTGGAGGCAGTTTACAAACACAAATTGCACAAGGACAAACATCCAGACCCGGAACAATTATTTGTAGGCCATACAAATACAAATACTTGATCCGTGCGGGATTCGAACCCGCGGCCCCCTGCTCAGCAACTCATTGCTAAGACACTGCGCCACGGAGCCGTATAAGAGTATAAGAGGTTGATAGCAAATGTATCAAGAATCATTTCTTGCCTACACACTTTTCATGTATCGTGTACGTTTTTCTTTAAAACTGAATAAAACCGCGCATAGTATGCCGACAGATAAAATAAAAGTACTTCATTAATTATGACAATTTTTCCATACATTATTATCAAATAAAATATTTGATTGCAATTATAAAACTAGGTGTCATGTCATGCCATGCATCTCGGACACATGATGACGCGGGTGAAACCGCGAAATGATTAGGCGCTGCTTTATCGCTTCATATTATACCTCTGTGGCTCTATATACCTAATATAGATTGCTTATTTTATTATGTTTAGTTTTTCCGAGTGGTTATGCAGCGATCACTCAAGAGTTCGGCTTCGAACGTGTGTAACTGCAAAAATTATCCCACGGGAACGAAATATTTTATATTACTGGGAGCCGCGGGTTCGAATCCCGCACGGAACAAGTATTTGTATGGCCTACAAATAATTCTTCCGGGTCTGGATGTTTGTCCTTGTGCAATTTATGTTTGTAAACTGCCTCCACGATACAGGAGAAACTCCTAGTGTGGGTGTAACGTTTTTTAAATAAGAAAAAAAAAATTTGTATGGCCTACAAATAGTTGTTCCGGGTCTGGATGTTTGTAAACTGCTTCCACTATACAGGAGAAAATGCTAGTGCGGGGGTAATGTATTTTTAAAAAATAAAATAAAATAAAATTCCAGACTATAACCTATCTCTGAGCAAAATATCATCCAGGTCCCTTCAGCGGTTCTGGCGTGATTGAATAACATACATCCTTTCATTCGTCCATCCAAATATCCAAACTTTCGCATTTATAATATTTAGATAATAATTGTAATTAGTTCTGCTTACCTATAAATTTTTTTCAAAAATACTTACCTGTCTTCTTACTTTTTTTTATATATACTCAATATCACTAAACGTAAACACAGGTTTTTATCAAGACAAGTGACCCATCAAGATTGTTTTCTTAGTACTGACGTACCTACCTAAAGTTTACAATTTTGTGGCCACGACGCGGTGACGTTTTGTGACATTTTGTTGTATTGTAGGTTGTAGGTATCTAGGTAATAACAGTAGGTACCTATGAAAATCCCACATAATATACCTTGTTTGTCCGCCGCAAGAGTCGTCTAATAAATAATTAAACTGTTTTGTAATTCTTTATTTATTTATAACACTTGCATTGAGAGCCGTGGTAGCTCAGATGGTTATCGTTCGCCGTAAGTATCACACTACGCGAGCAACCCGGGTTCGATCCCCGTCGGCACCAATGAAATTGTTGCAATTTTATATAGTAATCGTATATTATAGACTTAATTTTTTTTCTTTTATAATTATATTATATTACAGACGAAAATTGAAATAAAAAACAAAATTGTCTGTCGTCCAAAACGCATCATCTCTTTCAATTATATCAATTTCCATGCTGTCTTTTGTCTTTGGCGTCCAAATTACAAAATAGCAAAACTTTTCGTTTCGAATAAAACTCGAATAAGCCCGCGTCACCGCCCGTGCATGTGTGTGTAAGCGTCGTCCTCCCGCACCGCACCGGGGCAAACATTATTCAGTGAGATGCACGATAATTCATAGTAACATACGCGCGTAAAAAAATACGAAAAGGCCTTTGGAAGAAGGGGTTTTATGAAAAAACCACTGCATAAATTAATTACGAATAAAATTTCTTGAATTCTTCGATAATTGAGCTGTGTCGGTACCGACTTTGTTTTGGAAATTTCACACTTCTTTTATTACTAATTTACGCCCAAAGTTGTGTTAAAATTGGCAATAAAAACGAATCTTTGGTAGCTCGTAACTTTTTAATAACATTTTATTTTACTATTCTGTTTCCGTACAGACAAATTTGATAATGAGACAAAACGATATCATGTTTAACTTTGGATGTACACTGTCAAACAGCGTAGTAAAACCCCTCCGAAATTTGTATGGAAATCAATGGAAATATTGTCGACTAGTGTCACCTTATGTTATGAACATGAAGTTATATAGTGATTATCTTGTGCTTCAACAATAGTGTATTTTGCACAATATTAAAATAATACGTATTTATGATAGGTTCTGTAAAAAGTACACGAGAAATGTTTTTTTTTCTATTCCTATTCATTAAAATGAATTATAAGTTTTCTAATTCAGCTAAAAGAATTTTTTTTTAATCTGTGCCTCAAATGTCCAATACGCTATCCACCATAATATTAGATTCCGTTGTGACGTCACTTTGATAGTAAACAAGTTAATGCTGTGTGTTATTTCGAAAATTTTCAAGTTGTATTATCACGATTGTTGACTTTTATTCCGTATTTTATTGAAATGGCACCATGGAAAACGGATTCGTAAAAGCATAAAGTACTAACTAATCTACCAAGGATAAATACATTGATGGTGGCAAAATTTTTTGCATGCAATACCGATTTTTATTTTATGTTCCTGGGCTGGTACTACTTGGACTGCTTTATCACACTTATTTTGAAGTTCGAAAAATCTAGAAATAATAGTGAAATAAGGTTAATTTAGTATTCATCCTAGCGATTACATTAATAATTTATTATATCGTCATAAACTACAAATAGAATCAACGAAATAAAATTAATTTGACATTGATAGCAGCGGCAAATAATGTGTCCGCGGCGTCATAGGCCGATAGGCATACTTCCATCTTCCACTCAAGAGCGAGCGCCACAGCACCACGCCTTCCACTAAACTCTCAACATCAAATCCCAATTTTGTCGACTACGTCATGCTCGGAGTAAACTGTAACACTTATCATCACATTAGAAAACAAAAATACTACTTAGTGTTTTTAAGTCATAGCACGTTAAAGTAAACATGTTCTTTTTTTCGGTACATCGTTTAAACATTTTGAACTTTAAAACTAGCCCATGTAAATCACACCTCGTGTATCAAATTATAACATAACTTGAGCAAGTTAAATTTCCACTAAATGCTAACTATAACTCATTTAGAAAACCGCTAACATTTCTTTCGACGTTTGTTATCATATTTGGGTACGTTAAGAAATAATGAAAGTACTTGCGGGTACTTTTTATTATAAATCGAACAAAAAGATTTAAATTTTGGCTTAAAACATTTCACTTTAAACTTTTACTCTACACTTTAATGGTACGTCAATGTCGTAAATACGACAACAAACTTGATTTAAGAAATTGAACACGAAACAAAACTCTCCGACATATAAAAATTATAGCGGTTCATTATTACTCTATTCATTTAATCCACTATTTGAAAATGGGTGTAATACCCGTACCTATATACCTATGTACCTTTTCCTTTATTTCATTAATTCAAACTAGCGTTTCTTCTTTTTCATTTGTCGGCTCGTAAAAGTCTACTGCTGGGCTTCCCGTCGTAGGAAAGATTTTCTGTGTAGTGGCCGCGTAAGAGAATTTCCATTTCGTCTCATGGGCGTCATATGAGGCGATTATGGGAAATGCATCTGATTGATGTAGATCAACGCAGACATAAAACGCCCAAACCGGCATCGGGCAACTGCATGAAAGAGGGGATTGTGAATCCGCCCGCCAAGCGTAAAGTAATAACTATAATAATAATATATAGTCCTATATCAATCAATGAGAAAGGGGAGAAACATATTTTAAAAAGGTAGAAAGCAAAAGAAGAAGAGATATAATGTATTGCGCGGTTTTCTGCAAAACTGCATGTGTATTGTGTACGTATTGCAGCCGTGTGCGTGTCGCGCGGACCGAAGTAGAAGAGACGCGTTAAGATTGAGAGTCGAAACTGACTTGTGAAATGATGAAGTCTTCATCTCATGTGACAGTTCATGCGAAAGTAGTTGAAATATTTTTTAGAGTCCATTTCCAACTTTTAAAATAGGGTATAATATGTTCCTTATAAGTATTTTATTTTTAAGATTCGATGAATTCAAAATTTGACTTCTTTGCGTTGATTATATTGTCGTCTTAAATGTAATATATATATAACAAACAAATTCGACGACTTGACGAGATCATTTTTACGCGCTGTAGAACTGAAGCCTGTGTTAGTACTGAAAACGGTACCGGAAACGTTACCGGCGCAGTGGAAAAATGAAGCCACGGCGCTGCCGTGCCGTTGCCGTGCCGGTAAATGGAAACCACCCATTATCATACGAAATAATATTTTTTTTTATACAGGCTTCTTGACGAAGAATCAATGTATCCGGGCTCTTCGGATGATTCCTTTCTCGAGAGAGTGCTGTCTCACTACGGCGCCCCTCAACATACGCAATACCTCATTAAAAAGGCGCCCCACGCAAGGCAATTTGTTCTACAGCATTTACAGGTGAATTATTTAATATATTTAGCATAATACCTATGGTTTTTGAGTCTGGTTGAAGTCTATTTAGTTTCTGTACATGAATAACCATTACATTAATTGAATCTTGTATGAACAGTTTAATTTTAAAGAGGTTCTAGAATATTGTTTTTCCACAGGGAACTAATCCGGTGTTGTACGATGTAACTGGATGGGTCAAAGCCAGCCGAGAAAACCCCGTCACGAAGAAGGCACATACAATTCTTCAGGAAAGTCAGAAGTACGTAATATTTTTTAGTTATTACATTTTTTACTTCGTTTTACTTATTTTAATGTTTCTATTTTTATAGTTATTTATGTTGACATCATCATCATTAGCATGCTGAAAGGTCTTTCAAAGCGTGCGTATGCGTGTATGTGTGAATGTACGTGTGCGTGTACATGTACGTGCACGTGAGTGTGTGCGTTAATTTGCGCGCGCGTGTATGTGTGGGAGAGTGTGAGTGTGTGTAGTTTATTGCGTGTGCGCGTGCGTGCGTGTGGCGATGCATTAACATAACATAACATCTTGTGCGCAGCGAGGACGTGGGGCGGCTGGCGGGCTGGGCGCGCGGCGCGTGCGGCGTGGGCGCGTGGTCGGCGGCCGTGGGCGACGCCTCCACACTGCGCCGCGCCTCTTCCATACGACGAACTTTAACTTCGGGTAAAGGACTACGCCTCATTTCTCATTAAATACAGATTCTTGTTAAAAACCATACTCTGTTGAATAATAAGTTAGAACTTAAGTTGTTAAGTAAATACGAAGCTAAGAATGTGCAACTTTAAACGGCTATGTTTATATAACAACGTACGGCACTTTTGTGTGCAGTTTTGTGCAAGTTTTAAAGTTGTTAAAATTTGAGCAAGTGTGCAATTATTTTTTTAAAGAATACCTCCGAGAACTACTTGCTAGGTTTTTTGAAAATATTTTTTAGCTTAACTAATGAGTACGATAAAGAAGCAAGTCTGTTTAAAGTCATTTATACATTTAGTTGAAACATTCCCTAAATGGACGAATCAATGAGTTACCACTAATTGTACCTCGATAATTATTTTGAGAAATATTTTATCCAGCTATGAACTTCGACAACTTGATATTTAAAATTTTATTTACCTCAGGCACAGCGGGTATGAAACGCCGCTCCACAGCCTTGCAGGCAAAGTTCGTCGCTGATGGTGTAGTCGATACACTGAGACGGTGCGGTTCCGGAGGGGTGCAGTTCGTGTGCTGCCTCCTCACCAACCAGCCTTCCGATATGGCCGACGATGTTAACGTGCCGTTGCTTCGGTCCCAGGTATTTTTAATCCTTTTTACATTCGGCAATTTTAGAAAGTTTAAGTGGTCTTTGTTTAGAATTTCCTTCTATCATCATCATCATCATCATCATCATCATTGCCTGCTGAAAAAAGATTCCCAAGTCCACCTGCATCCATCGAATACCTGCATGCCTTACCAGGACGTCACGTCATGAAGTAGGGAGCCGCCCTACAACCATTACGAATCTGCCACTGGAGAACCTATTGTTCTCTTCTATTTATCGGTTTCTGGCCCACCACCAGTTATCGGCTCTTGGCCGGATTAGAGATCGAAAGTCCAAAATTTGTTTTATAAAACTTTTAAGAAAAATAATAATGCACTACATCCACATTCTTTTTCTCTAATATATAAGATTATTCACATAGACTGAGTTTTTAATGTATTTATATTATTTCAATTTAATATTCTTGTCGTTATTGGTTTCTAATTATATTATTATGATAAAAAATAACTGTTTATTCTGTTGTTCACAATCTAAGAATAAAACTGAACGCGTATTTTGATAAAACAATTTTTAATCAAATATATATATATGTCTATATATGTAGGTACTTCAAAGAATAAAATAATTAACAATTAACATAATTCCTTTTAAAGGATTTGTTAACTCAGTGCTTAAAAGAATGAAAGCCCTAATATCGAAGGCTATTATGTGAAAATTATTTCTTTATTTAGTTCTTTGAAATCTGCTTTTATTTTTCTACATCCTTCAAAAAGGGGACGGTGCTCAATTCGACTGTATGTTTTTTTTTTATGTGTGTTACCTCATAACTTTTTTCTGTGTGAACCGATTTCAATGGTTCTTTTTTTATTTGATAGCTGATGCTTCTCATGTGGTCCCATATATTTTATAAATTTGATCAAGTTCTGAACAATAGTTTTTGAGTTATTCTTAATAATTTATATTGAAGTCGGTTGTACAAAATATATAATTTTTAATTATTTCTTAAAATTTTAGTTTTATCAAAATGCGCATTCAGTTTAGTTTTATTACCAGTTTTATTACAAACTCAAGGTAGCAACTAGGGCAGCGTTCAAGTATTACGTAAAGCAATTTTTGAAGTTTTTGACCCTCCCTCTCCCCATGTAACACGCCGTAACGTTTTTCTGTACCCCCTCCTCCCCCGCGCAAAACGTTACGTAACACCCAAGTGATAATTTTTACTTCAAATTCACAATTATGTTGCGCAAAGCACCGGAAAGTTGTTAAAATACCTTAGTTATTGTTTTAATCGCGTTTGTGGTAATAATAAATAAAACAAGAGATTTCTAACTCGCAATACATGCGTATATTGTTTATATTATTTATTCATATTATTATTTAATAAACAATCACACGCAATGTTATAAATATTTGCTTAAGTTTCAAATATGTTAAAATGGACTCAAATTTGTCCTAATAAACTTTTACTACTAATCTTACATTTAATTACACCGTATTCCTGACTCTGTCCTTACATACATTTATGGCTTCATCTACTATTGTTCTTCTCTATCTTCTCATCGTTCTAGTTTTTTGGCATAGTTGCGCTGGCAAGTCGGCATGAGATCCTTTATAGGCCAGCTGATGATGTAAATCTCCCTCTTTTGAGGACGTTACAGTATCAACTCACTTTAACAAAACTGACTACAACAATGTTCTTCTGCGTTAACACGACTGTTACGAATACTGACAATGAAAATTAAATAAAAATGATGTACCGTACCCTACAGTCGAAGGATTCCCCGTAAAACATACATGAAAATTGTTGACAACGTTGATCTTAACTGTCTAGTTTTTTTTTTTATATATAAATAAAAGAAACAATGTTACGTAATGCGTTGTGCGAATTCCCCTCCCGCGCCTGTAACGCATCTTAACGTTTTACAAGACCCCCCTCCAACCAATTTGCGTTACGTAGGTAGTCCTTGAACGCCCCCTAAAATGTCATTTGAATAGTTACATTAAAAATTTAATCCCCTGTTTTCCACCTTGAGCAGTGGAGCTTTTCTCCGAATTGTAATAATATATATACGGGACCACTCTTTAACTATATCCTATTAAATACAAAATGATCATCAAAATCGGTTCAGAGATGGTGATGATATTACATAACATGCTTTGAAAAAAGGGAGAGAAGATTTTGTTCATACCCTTTTTTGAAGTGGGTTAATAATAAACAACCTAACACGATTTTCGATCTGAAGGAATCAAAGTCGGTTAATGTTAATAGTTCTTTAAAAAAATCAACAGTATATTTGTTTCATTTTATATATATATATATAGGCCCTTCTGTTGTGTATCTCAAGTATTAGCCGAAAAGTTTTATCTTGTCATAATACTCCCTTGTAGTTCTCGCTTTGACTTCCATTTTATGTCTGAAGTTTGTTTCTTTTTTAGTTTCGTGGATTTCAACTGCTCGACGCGGCCAGACTGTACAAGCAAGGGTTCCCTGAACACATGCCGCTTTCAGAATTTGCAAGAAGGTTAGTTTCGCTCAAAAGTTATGGATAATTAATGTCGTATGACGGCGATGTAATAAAATGTATGGCAGTGAATCAATCATCCACGTCATGCTGTGGGTGGGATATCGTATGAGGTGACTATGGGAAATATCGGCAAGATTAGAGTAAGAAAGTTAAAGCTTTTCATTATGATTTATCCAAGGAGGATCAAAATTAAACTTTATGACATGGATCATAAGTAACATTTTTAGACGTGGTAGAGCCACGCTGCAGCTATATTATGGTTGTAGCACGATTGGGTCGGCTCAACTGGATAAGGACCACGTTCTCATAGAATACCAGCGTTAAATAGAAGCTTAATGCTGCTGTGTTTTGTATGGTGAGTGTAGAGAACCGGATACCCTTTTTTCTGGAAATAGGCTTTCCATCTTAGTTCTTAAGTACAACGACATCTACTATGGGCCATAGCTTCCACTTAGCAACGGGTGGACTGTGTGCATGTTTGGCACCCTTAATCTATAAAAAAAAAAACATATTTAACTGATCCTGAAACTGTTACTAATTCACTTTAAATATAAACTAAAGACCGACCGTTTATTCTGTTGTTCACAATGTAAGAATAAAATTGAGAGGTATTATTGCATCGTTTAATTCTAATAGGAAGTTCTTTTTGCCAGATTTTTACTAACCGTTTTACCTCCAGGTATCGACTCTTGGCAACATCAGAGAATGAAACCCCCGAAAACACTCAACAGACCGCAACGCTATCCGACCGGCAGATCGTAGATGATATGCTGCTGGCTTTAGACCTTGACGTCACCAGTTATCGTCTTGGCCTCACTCAGGTAAGTGTCACTTTTTTGACAGCTGACTGGAATCACGGCTACGCGCATGACAGGTAAGTGGTATTTTGAATTACGCGCATAACAGGCAAGTGATTAAGAGAAAACTTTGGCGGTTCTAATTATTAATATTTATAAAATGTGTTAAAATAAAAATGTTTCATGTTTGTAAAATATCTTAACGATATAGAATCGTATTTTGTGAACATATTATATCGTTTGATTATTATCTGACAACGCCATTATACATTATAGTGCGCGAGAGTAAAACAAGTTCGTAACTTGGTATGTAGGTATATGGATGATCTGGTTGACATGCTTCAAAATCACGGTTCGATTATTTCATCAGAAGAAATAATGTATGTGTCTAAATCGCTCAAATAAAAAACGTGATCAGTATCGTGTTAAATATCAGACTAGATATTTGATCATTGCTCTATAACTGGGCCGAATAAATCATCATTCATCATTATATGACGGTCATTATGAATAAATGTTTTTATTTCTTCATCCTATCATAAATGATTTATATTAAATTTAACCAGTTACCGTGTAGTGGCGATGTAAAAATATTTACTACCCCTTAATGTCCCGTGGGTATCGTAAGAAGAAAAACAAAGGGAAACTGAAACAGGAGGTGGGCCGCAGCATCTTAACAACTCAAAATAATTTATGTGTGTTAGAAGAACTTTTTCCAAGGTAAACCGCTTTTGACAATTCTTTTTTATTTGAAAGCTGGTGCTTCTCATGTGGTCCCATACAAATTTGATCAAGATGTGACCAGTAGTTTTCGAGTTATCATTAATAATGCGTATTTAATTGACTTCGACTACATTGATGATGTTCTCATTTTATTTATATTGAAGCCCGTTACACAATTTTTATTTTATTTTACGACTTGCTTTTTAAAAGAATACTAGTAATGATATTAGGATTGCTAATACTCCCGTTAACAACACCAAGTAAGCATGAAATGCTTGTGTTAGGAATGGTTCACGAGTAATATACGAGAATAGCGGTCGGATTCAAACCCACAACTTTTTAGTTTCGTTGGCCGTATCCTTTACAACTGTTAGCGAGGTCTACTGTCGTTTAACTGTCCCATTGGGGTAGGTTGTTAGTTTATTTTACTTAAAAACTACTTTCAGTATTTTATTTGGAGTAGATACAGTCTCTAAGGTCACTGCTCTGTGGTTATTACTACAATAACATTATATAATTTTCTTATCGCCGTTACGGCACATCGAAGTGGTTTTAACAACCGTGCCTTTACGTAACGTCATGTACGACATAATTACACACAGACATCAGCTGTGTATTGAACGTAAGTGGACTACACGGTAGAGCCCTTTCACGGTGATCTTACGTTAGAAATTGTAAGTAAAAGTGAGTGGATTTACTGTTACGACGCATTTAATGCCGCCTTCGTTTGTTACCTAAGTAAAAAAAAAAACATTTTATATTGGAAATAATAGTATTTGAAGTCAGAAAACACATTATCTATATAAAAATAAAATGAAATAATAGAGATTTACAGTTGGGCTCGCATCAGGGAAAAACTACTGGATAGATTTCAATTAGGTTTTCTAAGATTTATTTCTTACACACTTGACCTATATCTAAAAAAAAATTGCGCTATCTTCACTTAGTATAAAGTTATCAAAGTTTTAAGAAACAACGATTTTTATACGGGGTTTTTCATACGGTCAACTGTACGTCGCTTGCTCTCGCGTTACTAACCCAGATAATTTATATATTTTAGCTACAAACGGAGCAACGAATCAGTGGCGTAGCGTGCTTTAGATGGGCCCTGTATCAAAATTTGTTGGGGGGCCCCAATGAAATTTAAAGATTTTTTACTTTGAATTAAAATTATTATATATTATTGATTATTAGTTATTACTTACAATTAATACTCCTAGGAACTAAGCTAGCCAAACAATTAAAATCAAATATACACTTTTCTTACCTTTTGTTCAGCGAACAAAGCTGAACAGTGAACACGATTCGGCGGCATTTATAGGTGAAGACGATTTCATCATCATCATCATCATCATTACAGCCCTTCACAAGTCCACTGCTGAACATAGGCCTCCCCCAAGGAATGCCACAAAGCACGGTCCTGAGCCACCTGCATCCATCGACTTCCTGCATATCTTACCAGGTCGTCACTCCATCTCGTGGGGGGACGCCCTACACTTCGCCTGCCGGTACGAGGCTGCCACTCGAGAACCTTTCTTCCCCATCGGTTGTCGGTTCTTCGAGCTATATGGCCGGCCCATTGCCACTTCAGCTTACTAATCCGTTGGGCTATGTCGGTCACTCTAGTTCTACTGCGGATATCCTCATTTCTGAGTTTATCACGCAGAGAAACTCCGAGCATAGCCCTCTCCATAGCTCGCTGAGCGACCTTGAGCTTCCTCATCCGGCCAGCAGTGAAGGACCACGTCTCAGTTCCGTATGTCATCACTGGCAACACGCACTGGGTGTACAGTCTCGTTTTCAAGTTTTGAGGTATACCTGACGAGAAGATGTGCCATAATTTCCCGAACGCTGCCCAACGGTTGGGCAGCGTTCGGGAAGACGATTTCAGTCTTTCTAAATTCTTTGCTTCTATAGACGATAGTGATAGCCTTTCCTGTCCCATAGAAGTCCTTGGATTTTTTATTTACACACGTTCGGGGCCCCTGTATCCCGGGGGCCCCGTATCATTGATACGGCTGATACGGCGGTAGCTACGCCCCTGCAACGAATGTTGTTTACAAAGAAATTTTATAAGCAAAGTATATTTTTGCTTGCGATCTTTTTGATGTTTTTTTCTACGCACATACGAAAACTTTGTTAATATATCAAGCAACGCGGACGAAGTCGCGGGTATCAGCTAGTTTTATGTATAATTGTTTTGTAGTTGACGAACGCATGACCTGAAGGCATGATTTAGTTGTTAACGGGTATTTTTCGTGTAAACATACCAATGGGGTTTCTTAGGCCATTTATTCTCCCGTCAGTGTATAAACAAAGAATATATGAAACATCACGTTATTCAAACAAATTTCAATTTTGTATGTTTTAGAAATAAGGACTCTTTTTATATTTCATTTCATTATCAGTTACGGACGCGTGTCTCCGATAATGCATTCTAGCCTAATTGATCTCGCCGCATACTCGTAAGCGCTACATCACGTAAAGGTGGGTTATGGTGAGTAAGTGATGTAGCAGAAGTTAACTTTTACGGATTTCGTCGCATTTAACTAGTTTATTTTTATATGTCCGATGTTTCGAGTACTTTGCAGCACCCATGGTCATGGGGGCTGAATTGTTAACATTCCAATATCATAGTAAACCACGAATACTTTTAAAAATTATTAATATTTAATCCGATCTACAGAGAAGGAACCAATAATATCTCGAAGTCTTGCAGTTGTTTGCCCGGGTTGTGATTTATTTTTATTAAATATAGGATAGGATGCCAAGCAGATGGTAGTCCCTAGCCACCTACTCTATTAAAGTTTACTTAAATATCTATTTTTCCTTTTTTTCATAATGTATAAAAATTATATTTGCGTCATTAAAATTGTGGGAATTTGAGAAATATAATTTTCGTTTAGGACTTAATTTAAAGTGCTGATTTACCACGTGCTATGCATATGTAGGAAAACATCGTAAGAAAAAATCGGCCAAGTGCGAGTTGGACTCGCGCACGAAGGGTTCCGTACCATCGTAAAACGTTTCTAATAGGGGAGACCCCTTTAATTTTTAATTTATTTTTATTTTTATTTTTTGTTGCTATAGCGGCAAATACACATTCTGTAAAAATTTCAACTGTCTACCTATTACGGATCATGAGATACAGTACAGTATACAGTACATATCATTATTATATTTCAAATTACATTACTCCCTAATGCTACGCTTGCCTTGCCTTTTTTGTTATTTATTGATTAATACTGTATTGTCTTGGTGGATGAGCGGGGTACCCAGTAATACAGGTTACCAACCTGGTATAGGGGCCCTTGCGAATAGTTTAAATTGTATCAATAAATCATTTTTCATTTTCATTTTTCGTTTTCATATGCGCAAATTAGAAAGTGGGTGCGGCCGAAATATATCACTTTGTTTGAAATCAGTAAGGATCGCATCATTAAATGCAATGATGTATTTGTTGACGTTTCACCGCTATTTTACTATATCTACAAGTATGCAATAATATAAACGAAAGTTAAGCTTGAATACTTTTGAAGCATCATTGAAAACATTGAAGTGACTACTTGAAAATTATGAACTCGCAATTTTCAGAATTTGGTGAATGCATGTGTAGCATTTAGAATTTCACTTCCGATTTATGTCATATACAGTTGACGGCTTTCTGTGATAGCATTGGTACAAAGTTAAAATTTTAATATAAATAAAAGCCGAATTCAAATAAATAAAAAGAAGAAAAAATAATTCACAAACTGAAGTCTATGCTAATACATAGTGTAGTGTATATTTAAATATTTTAAAACTACTTTTACGGATTTTATCGCGTTTAATTTAGTTATTTTATATTCCCGACGTTTAGGTTGCTTTCCAGCAACCGTGGTCACGGGGGACTGAGGTGATTGACGTCCCGATGTTAAAGTTAACCCGGAGTACCTTCAGCTTTTTAATTATTAATTTTGGTCCGATCTACGCAGAGATCTACGCAGGTTGCTGGAAAGCAACCGAAACGTCGGAAATATAAAATAACTTAATTAAACGCGATAAAATCTGTAAAAGTAGTTTTATTCAATGTGTAGTGTTCGCGTAAATATTAGAAATCATTAAATATTTTAAAATAAAAATTTTAACCCTTTTAAGTGGACCAAGGAATATTACGAGCTCTAATGTCGTCTAAACGATTGAATTAAAAACTCCATTGCATGTATTTCCACCCTTAGGGAGTGTAATATATATTTTTAACGTGGTAGAACCATGCTGCAGCTATATTTGTAGTATAGTTGTAGCACGAATGGGTCGGCTCG